GGCAAAGCGTTCCTCACAAGGACAAGAGATGGTCTCTGTGTGGTTCTTCTCCTGGGACCTGCCTGAAGTTGGACAGGGTCCGCTGGGTGACCAGCCCAGGGCAGGCAGCTCCAGGCCCCTCTCAGGGGTGGAAGCCTGAAGGAGGTTCCCATATGTGGGCCAGAGCAGCACACCCACGTGTGGACCAGGTCACCTCCAAAGTGCAAGAGGCCCACTGAGTGTGGCAGCCCACCCTTTGTGGTGCTCAGTGCATCGTGACCATCCAACCTGGAGGGACATTCCGACATGTCCCAGGCAGCCAGATCCCTAGGAAGTCCCTCGTGTGGCCGCCCGAGTGGGGAAGGGTTCAGTCCCTGCCCCGGGCACACAGGGGCCAACTATGCATCCAGCCTTCTCCTGTCCCCAGCTCAGGGTGATGTCACCATCCCCTCTGCCCGATAACCGTGGAAAAGTCCACCTACCCTGAGGCCCATGTGGAGGCATTCTGCCTCCCAGCCGCATGAGGCAAAGGCTTCGGGGTGTATTTGCTTGCAGGAGTAGGGGGGCCGTGGGCACCACTGCCCAGAGAGTGCTGGACAGCCCACAGCGGTTCTCCCAGCCCACCTGGCTTCCGCGGCCGCCGGCATTGTGGGGTGTATGGGTGTGCTTTGGCCGCCGTAACAAAACCCCACAACCTGGGTGATTTAAACGGCAGACGTTAGCTTCTCATGGTGCTGGCGGCTGGGGGTGCCCCATGAAGGGGTGGGCAGGCTGCTCGTCCTGAGCCGCTCTCGGCCAGGAGACAGCTGCCTCCCCTCTGTGCCCACCTCTCTTCTTGTAGGACCCCCAGTCACACTGGGTTAGGGCCCATCCATCCTTTTTTTTTAAGATTTTATTTATTTATGTATATATTTTAGAGAGAGAGAGAGAGAGAGGAGCAGACTGTGCTGAGCGCGGGGCCCAATGTGAGGCTCAGTTCCATCACCCTGAGATCACGACCTGAGCCGAAATTAAGAGTAGAATGCTTAACCGACTGAGTCCCCAGGCGGCCCCTATCTGCCCTTTCTACAAACGCAGCCAGTGAGGGGGACTCTCTGGGGCCTCTGGTTCCCACCAGGCCCACTGTGAGCTGGATTTGGGGCAAGACCCCTTCTCTGACCCGTGGACCTCCGTGGCTGACTGGGGGTCTCTGCAGAGCCAGGATAGAATACCCTGGAGGTTCAAGGAACTCCCTTTGCTCCGGGACACCGTGACCCTTGAAAATGACCACAGGTCCCTCTGGGGAAGGCTTAAGAGCCCATTCATGGTCTATACGTGTGCCTAAATGACAGGGTCCATCCTGACCAGCCCTAGCAACGGGGAGGAGGTCAGGGGTCCCCCTTATGGTGGCTCAAGCTGGGATTTTGCCCAACAGACCTGAAATTGTCCTCTTGTAGCTTAGCTCCGCGTTGATTCCCTTCCGAGGGTCCCTGCGATCGAGGAGCCTTCACGACTGCCACGGTTCAAAGAATTCGGATTCCCTCTCCCCCTGGGTGACTTATTCTGGTATTTGGCACCCACCACACGAGGGCCACCTCGTCCCCACTGAGAACAGGTGACCCAGTTCCATCGCAACAGCTCTGGCCTGCAGAGTTTCACCCGTGACTCCTTAGCCACGTGCTGCCTGGAGCGTCCTAACCGTGGCTGAGGGGCAGGCTGCCCATGATCGACCTGCTCCGGCACCCGACTCTGGGAGCCTCGGGCTTTTCCTCCACACCCACACTGGTGAGTCTCCATGGTGGCCCAAGGAATTTTTAAGCCCACCAATGCTAGACCCCACCTCCAGATTTCATGGGTCCATGAGCATTTTCCCCCAAATGCTCCCCATGACTGTAGCGCAGAGCTGAAGCCAAGAACCCAGTGCTGGAAGCTTCCTCCTGGTGCTGTGGCCCACGTTTTGGCGGATTGTCTTCTGGCTGGCGCAGTTTCTGCAACAGGCACACTGTGTGTGGGTCCCTGCCTGCCTTCAGGATGTTTTCTCTCTGTTTGGTGTCTGCTGGCTTGGACAGTTGTGCCTCGTACAGGTATAAATCCCGGCTGGTTTCCTGAATTCGGGTCTGTGCCGTGCTGTCCTTATTGTTAGGAAACCCCGAGCTGTTAGTTTTGCAGATCTTTCTTCTGCCCCTCCTCTCTTCTGTTACCCCAGCGACGCACATCAGACTGTTTGAAATGATTTATTCCAGGGCTTTTGTTTGCCCTGTTCTCTTGGTTCCCCCATTTCCCCTCTTTGTTTCAGTTTGGGTGATTTCTGGACTCATCGAGAAGTTCAGGGATTCTTTCCTGTGTTGACGGTGTTCCTGAGCCTGTTGAAGGCATTCTTCATCTGCGTGGCGCTGTTCTTTGTTTCTAGAATTTCCATTTCCGGTCTCCATCCCTGTGCTGGGACACCCCACCTTTTCCTTCACGTTGCTGACCTTTTCCGCCAGAGCTGAACACAGATCCTGCCAGACAATCCTAGCTTCTAAGCCCTCTCTGAGTCTGGTTCTGTTGATTTTCCTGTCTGGATTGTGGGTCTCTTCCTTCGTGTGTGTGTCTTGTAATCATTGACCAAAAGACAGAGATCGTCTGTAGGACCACAGACACTGAGGTTACTGGTTATTTCTTTTCTCGAAATGGCGCTCCTCCCCGGTGTGGCTGCCTGCGTTGAGTCTGGAGGCTGGGAGGCGACTGGGTCTGGGTTTTGTGGTTGTGGTTTCTTCGCTGTGTCCACTGACACAAATCCCTCTGGCATCACCTTGTGCTGAGGGTGGTGGCTGGTTTGCTGGAAGCAGTTTCTCAGTGTTCCTGCTCCACCTTCGGCTCCAGGCCTCCCCGGTGCACTCCCACCTCGGGCTCCCTGTGATGGAGCATGGAGCACCCAGCTTATTCCTTGGTCTGGCTGTCCCGGCACAGGTGTGTGTGTGTGTGTGTGTGTGTGTGTGTGTGCGCGCGCACCCCCACCTTGGGCTCCCTGTGATGGAGCATGGAGCACCCAGCTTATTCCTTGGTCTGGCTGTCCCGGCACAGGTGTGTGTGTGTGTGTGTGTGT